CCCCCCAACAATATCTATAGGGAGTTTTTCTACTTGCATTTACCTCTGCAGTCCTGGGCACAACTCTCTTTGCCTGCCACTGCTGGCAGAGAACACTTATGAATGCATCAGCATTTGAAAGTAACTGGCTAAAGACCTTTTTAGCTTCTTTAGTTATAATGAGGACTATTAAGAGAGTAATGTATTCATCTAATATGTCAAAAAACTAATTTACAAAATAAGTAAAGGATATTAACTATAAAACATCTGTCGTGGTAAGAAAAGGAAGTGTCTATTAATAACGGGGGAGGGGGAGGGGGGCTGATATTTCTCCTTATCATCTTTTGAAACTCTTAATCTCTAAATACACCATTGTCATGTTTCATTAGAGACGGTTTTTGTAATCTGCAAAAGGGTTTGTTCTAGTAAAAATATTTTCCTGTGCCAGACTTGAGAAGCCCCAAGGCAATTCCTACATAATGATTTTCTTTAATTGCGTGGTTCTTTTATAATACTTTAATGTAGTTTTAAAAACCACCTCCTTTTATGAAGATGAAGTGAAATTGTTTCTTTGAACGTATCTGGAATGACATGCCAGACGAGGAGCCATGATCTCTCTGCAGATCCTCTGGATCTGCCATCCACCACCCTGGGCCCGCCTCACTGGGAAGATGACCTGGGGCCCCTCCACTAAGGGGCTCACAGCCTGGACTCGGGAGACAAAACCCTCTGGATCACCCCCAGGGCACTTGAGAGAGGTTTGTCCCCAGGACAGGTCATGTTTCTCTCGCATCTTTGCCGATGATGCTTCCAAAATTCATCCAGGGAAGGGACAGCACCAGAAGGCTCAGAGGCCAAGTGAAAGACAGGACTGGCATCCGCACTCAGCACCTTTCTGCCCACAGCAAACCCCCAGCAAGCAGGAAGAAGGCGCAGTGGGCAACAGGAGACAGAGCTCAGACCGCTTCTTCTGCGGCCTTGTCTCCTCACCTATGAACGACAAGAGGTGCTTGGACGAGATCCCGATCCCTTCTCCATCTAAAATCATGTGGTTCTGGGGAGCTAACAAGAAGTGAGTTATTTCCAATTTCAAAATGGCACCTGGGATTGAACTTCTGTATGGTTCCTGCACTTGCTGTTCTTAGGAAAATGTTCTTTGAATGCTGTGCTATAGTTAACATAAAACATCCATTGGCATTGCCCTGGCTGGTTTGGCTCAGTGGATAGAGCATTGGACTGTGGACTGGAAGGTCCCAGGTTCGATTCTGCTCAAGGGCACATGCTTGGGTTGTGGGCTCAATTCCAGTGTGGGGTGTGCAGGAGGCAGCCGATCAAGGATACTCTGTCGTCATTGACATTTCTATTTCTCTCTCCCTCTCCCTTCCTCTCTGAAATCAATAAAAATGTATTAAAAAAAATCCATGGGCATTAAAGTGCGAAATGGCCTGTTTTCTAATTCCATCATATTAGGACCAGAAGTCCAAAATGTCCCGACTTGCCATCTGGCCCTGATGTTCAGGCAGGCTTTGGTACCATTTGGAACACTAACTAACAATCATTACTCTCAACTCACAAGACTGAGAAATACCTATTTTGAACACAACCCCAGCTTCACCCATAGAAGTGAAAACTGGTCATTGCTCACGTGTGTTATGACAGAGGAAAGGTGGTATATTGTTTGAAAGAGGGTGTCTGACTAATTCAACTCTAAGTCAACTAACAGCTCAGTGTCTTGATCTTATCTGTGAAAAGAAATGTGTTGAATCAGTGAACTTGAAATTGTGTTCAGATTAAACATTCTTGGAGGCAAAGTAACCATAGAAGCAATTTCAAGAATTCTCAAAGAAGTGATTTTCCAGTTTCCTAACATGTCCAATCACAAGACATTTACAATCTGAATAAAATTGTCCCATGCTGCCCTTTGATTTTGGCGAATAGTGTTTGTGCTTCCTGACTTCAGTCTAAGAGTTCAGCTTGACTGGGTCACTCTCATCCTTGTTTTTGTGTTTTCATTTAAAAGCAGAGAAACCCGCTGGCCATTCAAGTAAAAATGCAGTTTCCCAGGACAATGTTAACTTGAATTCTTTACAAATGCAATAGAAATGCACTAAAAATATCAGTGCTTCCTGAAGTATGGACTGTGTTCAATCAATTGACTAGTTCTTATTAACGGAGCAATTATGTAAGTAACTCAAAAAGTTTTTTAGTAGAAGATTCGAAATACATCTGATGACTCTTCATTAAATAATGTTGATGAAAAATGTGGCAGGATTGTCACAAAGGACTTCCCGTAAACAACATCTCAGTAGTTAGATGGGAAAACAATGCTGAGGGGAAGAACTGGAGTTAAGGGCATGGGAGACAGGGCACCCATTATCAGAGCAGCTCTCGATGGAGTTCATGGTACATTCAAGATAGTTCAAGGGCACTGATGATGGCTGGCCTAGAGTGTTAGGGGCCATCAGTGAGAAACCTACTGAGAGTGAGGAAAGGAAAGATGGACGTGGATTCTATGTTGAGTAATGGGAGGGCACTACAGGGGAATGAAGTACTGGCAGTATCCTCCAGGCGGCACTGTGAATTGAACAAGTCTGGTGGGAAGAGTGGAGGGGGACAAGTTCTTACCCCCTGAGTTTTCACTGATGTCACGTGGGCCAACAAAGATAGCAATGGGTATCGGGGCATTACCTACTTTGCTTCAGCTGAGTAGGATCAGAGCAGCCTTAAGCTCTTCGCTCGGAGCTGTGTGAAGGGCAGTGGCCAAGTGTGCCTGCCCTCATCTCAAACAGGCTGAGGTTGGACTCAGGGCCCCCTGAAAGCTGAGGAACATGGAGACTGGCTGATAGCTCAGGCCTGAGAGGTTCAAAGGCAGAGTCTGCCATGGACTCCCCAAACACAGGGTGCAGGTGAGGGGAAGCATTTCCATCAGTGTGGGGTGAGGATTTTCTGGGACCACGCATGTACCTGGGGGAAGGTGGTCAGTGGTTATCATAAAGGGAACTCTCACGAAAGATTTTCCCTTACCCTGAGGAAAAGGCTGTGAGCTTCCCCTAGCGGTGGGATGCGTGATTGCCCCCAGGGAATCCAATAGTTCCCCAAAAGAATCAGCCTAAGTGCTCATCAGCAGATGAATGGATTAAAAAACTTTGGCACATCTACACAATGGAGTACTATGCTGCTGTAAAAAGGAAGGACCTCCTACCATTTGCAAAATCATGGATGGTGGACAACAGGGGGTGAGGGTGAGGGCAGGATTGGGGGGATGAGGGAACATTGGGGGGATAAGGACACATTTGTAATATCTTATTCAATAAAGGGAAAAAGAAAAAGAAAAAAAAAGAAAGCTGTCTGAAGAATCCCCCATGCCCAGGGGACACCAGATTGCAGGAGTCAGGTATGGAGAGATATGCCATCTTTCCCTTAACGAGCTGCCCGCCCCTCACATTCGTAATCCCACGTGGTGCCCTGAGAGGGTAGAAATGACGCCTAATGCGTGGGAGAAGAGCTAGAGCAGGGAGAGCAGGGAAAGCTGGGGTGTGTGTGTGGGGGTAGGGTGGGGGGGGGAACAACCTTTATTAAGTTCCCTATCCCCTCCCCTCCTCCAGAGGTTTCCAAGCCAACACAGGCCTAAGCTGGGAGAGGGAGGAGGCCATTTAAACTGAAGAGGCTGGAGTTTTGATCATGATGTTGCACTGGGCTCTTTGCATGCCTGAAACTGATCTGAGGACTTTGAATAATTCACAACTAGCTGAAGAGGCTATGGGCTCTGTCTGAGATTTCAACTCAGGGTAGAAAGGAGAGCTCAGCAGAGTGAATTCCTAGGGCACTGGAAAAAGAGGATGCCCTGTTCTTTATCCCCTAATGAATCCAGGCCAGACAATAAGGGGGGTCCCGTAGTATTCCCTTCAGGTTTTCTGTTTGTTTGCCTGTTGACTCAGTGCCCCTCCTTAGTTCAGAGCCAGGTCCCAGGGTCAAATGGGTTTCTCTGTGCTCAGCCACTTACAGCCCTGACACCCTGAGCAAGCCACTCAAGGTGGGTGTACCCCAGTTTCCTCATTTGTGGAAGGTTGACCGCAATGGTCCCTACATTTCC